CATTGTTTTTGGACAGCTCTAACCCATTGCCCCCGAAGGAAGGAATAACCGTCTATGGGCCCTAACTATGTAAATAATCCACCTTCCATAGAAAACATTAATCATTTTCGGTATCTGGAGATGACGCCATAGGTTGCGCAAGGGCGCCATAAAGGTATTACGTAATCTTTGCCGACATGGCGTACGCTTTTTTTCTCAGGCTCTCACGATAGGCCTAGGATCCTAAAAACAGATTCTTGTGGTGATCAAACATCCGCTTTCAAATATTTCTCGGCAAGTAGGTCGTCTGATAGCGGTGACGTCACAGTCGCGGTTTATATTCAAGTCCTTTAAATAACCCACACACACCATCAGGACACAAACATTCTGTCTCATTAAAAATGAATATTTTCGGTCCTTGTAGCTGATATCAAAGAGTGAACTTACGGATTTCATTGTTGATGTTATAAGCGATCTGTCATTATCAACTTTCAAAATATTTTTGGAGAGAAAACTTTTTTTATATTTTTGAATTTGCCAGTTATGTGAGTAAGGTAAAAAGTTCTTGGCCTGACCCAGAGATGGCATTCCAATCGGCAAAAGATTACGTTTGCTCCCTGCGCGCGCATGTCATTAATTCGTAGGACAAGGTTCAACTTGTTCGCTAAGCAGTTTGTGTAAAGGAGTATTTGCAGTACACATCTTACACGGGTCTCCGTTAAAATGAAAAAACTTGAATATCGTGCAGTTATTAAATTTCTTGTTTTCCATGAATTAATCTCTAAAGAAATTCATCCGACGTTGACAAATGTTTACGGGAACTTTGCTCCTACAATTTCAACCGTTAAAAAGTGGGCAGCGGAATTTAAACGTGGTCGCACGTTGCTCGAAGATGACCCACGTGAAGGACGGCCACACCGTAAACTATCGAAAAGTTGACAATATCGTCTTGGACGATAGGCGAGTAAAGGTGTGTGAGATAGCTGAGGCCGTGGGGATATCGGAATAAAAGGTGCGGAACATCTTACACGAAGAATTAGGGATGCGAAAGCCCTACTCGGGGTGGATGCGGCATTTGTTGAATACAGGTTTTTAAAAATTGTGAAAATTCGCAGCAATGTTTGGGCCTATTCATGAGGGATCCGGTCGATTTTGTGCGGCGATTTGTCACCATGGATGGGTCCACCACTACACGCCAGACAACAGTCGAAGCAGCGGGTGGAAGCCGGTGGTTCAGCGCCAAAGAAAGCGAAGTCGATCGCATCTGTCTACCACGGCCAGTGTGGCTTGGAATGTGCCAAAGGGATCCTGTTAATTTTTTGATTACATTGAAACATGCATAAATATTACAGGCGGATATTAATCTAAACTTCTTGATCAGCTGGATGCCAAAATTCGCAATTAGAGGCCTGGCTGGAGAAAGAAAAAATCACCTTTCACCAGGACAACGCACCTGTTTACAAAAGTTTGTTGGCAATGGGAAAACTTCGGGATTTGAGGTACGATTTGCTCGGCCATCCCTCCTATTCTCCTGATTTGGAACCCTCAGACTTTCATCTCTTACCACGCCTACAGAAATTTGTTTCTCTCTTTAAAAAAATCAAATAAAACAAACAAATTTAGGTCTAAATCGCATTTTCTGCGTGCTCCTTTCAGATATAATTCTATAGCCAATGAACATTTCCTTCAGATTGGCCACATACTGTAGGAGTGTATAAGGAACAAACCCATATTTGTTTTTTATTTCTAGAGATCGATTTTAGGAAAAATCCAGACGTGATGGGGAAATCATTGTCGAAACCAAATAACTTACAAATAAATTAAAACATCTCTTGGATTTTCAAAAATTTCATTTTCCCAAGCCTGTGTAATAAAATTTAAAGTGCTCGCTAATAAATAAATTATAAATTTGTAGTTTATATAAATTTTATTTATTAATCAACCAGGCGCGATATTGAAATATTTGAGCCTATTACAGAGGAAACAGACAAACTAGAATTGAATGTTTACATGTATTAATCGACAGAGTTCATAAAATGTATATAGACAAAGATGTAAGAGAATTAAATAATTTAGATCAGAGAACAATCAATGTCTCACTTCTGTAGAATTCGGACAGTCATAGATAAGGTGAAGTTTGTTCAGTTTCTCCGCAGGAACAATTTGGTGTTTCTGATAGACCTCTTTTATGTAAGTATTTCTGGCCGTGTGATGTGACAAATTGAGTGACTATAAACTTTGGATGGAACTGTGTAGGAATTCTGTTTGGAAAAATAGTGTGAATTGTATAATTAGCATTATGAATGGATTGATACAAATGGTTCATAATAATAACCTTTTCTTCGCCAATCATTGTTGTGAGTATTTCTCTTGATGAATTTTGTTTTTTTTTTTCAGTTCGTATTTTATTGATTTATAGTTGAGAAAGGCTTCTATGAAAGGTGTATGGAGGTGTGAACATTCATATGATATGGTTCCATGTACCACTGAGCTATTATGTTGTAGCGAATGAAGTTTGTGAACATATAGAAATATAAGGATACCATATTTCACTAGCATGAGCGGTTCTCCATCGTATAAGCGATTTGTAAATTGTAGTTATTTTCTTTAGTTTATATAAATTGAATGAACAACATATTTTGGAGCCGAGGTAAAGAAACAGAAGATGACAAATAATTTAACATCTTCATTACCATATGTACATATACAACACCTATGTACACATATATACATATTAACAAAAAGACATCTCCTTATCGTGCAACTGAAAGTTGCTGATGGTTTGCGCCATCTATCGGAATAAATATCAACTATTCTCGTTGATTTATGTACATATATACATATATATAGAAAACCTCCCAAGAGCGAGTCAATTAATGAGCGACCAATTTTGTAAAATAAGATTGAACCCTCGATATATTACAACCTCCGTTAGGCGACTACTTCCAGGAGTATCCATGAGTGAACATATCTCATTGGAGGTTGTGCTGTACAGTAGAAGGATGGGGAAGAAACTCCTGAAATCAAGATCAAACAGAATTGGAGGAAATAGTTCAGTGATTTATTGAAAGACAATAATTCTTGAGAACCTCTTATAATCCACGAATGTCAACATGGACACCAACATGGAGACCAATAATGAGAATGGAGAAAGAAAGGAAAGAATCCCCCCAGCAAGTGTCCCTCAGTGACACAGGGGCTGTACATCTCCCAGGAGGTCGGGGAAGTGAGGTGACTGACCCTTCCACCCCCGAAGAGCCCCGATGTCCTCCAGGAGGTGTTAGCAGAGGCGCTTGGCCAAACACCCGGGAGAAAATCTTGACATTTTTTACCCATTGAAATTCCTGTAGAGTCAACCTCCGGATGTCTCAAATCCTTCAAATTGTGATTTTGAATGACCGACCATTCACAGCTGTTTTCTCATAGGATAGACTTTCTGATTTTTTCAATTCGTTAAAGAGTTTCTGTTATAATGTCGTGATTCTGAATGGCTATTAACTCTTTAACGAATTAAAAAAAATAGAAAATCTATCCAATGAGCTAAATATCCTGGAGGTGGGTTTGTTACGTCAGGTCGATTTTACCAAAGTGGTTCCTCAGCAGATGACTGCTTGGAAGTTTAAATTTAGTTTGAATTATGAATTGAAAAATTAAATAAAATATGTTTATTCAATTAAATTATAAATTAAATATGTTTATTTTGACAAGGTTACTATTTACGGGATAACACACAAAGTTGCATATTACACTGATAGACAAAACTTAAGGAAGTTGTACCTTATAGCATATATATATCGGGATTCAGAAAATATCTCTCAGAGTTATTTTCTGAATCCCGATATATATATGCTATCAGTGTCTATCAGTGTTACTAGGGCCTAAAGTAACTAAACGCACAAAAATCGTACACTCAAGAGAGTACAATCTTTATTGTAGCGTTGGTAGGGATCGGACCGGGGTCACACAGGTATGCGAGGAGATAGCCAGACACGGATAAAGCACGCAGAGAACACTTTAAGCGTCTCCACACCACAATCCACCACACTCGTCTCTCGCAAGAGAAAATAAGGATAACCCGGGCCCCTGGAGCGCAATGTCTCTCGCAATACCATAGCCCCCTTATATATACAGACATGGCCACATTCGTCCAATGAGAAGGCGGGAGAGATTGGTTCACTATCAAACGGAAACAAAATCCTTCCCACTAAAACCTGAGGTAAGATAAAAAAGTACAAATATTTGTCAATATAATATGACAATTTAATTAAAAAATGATAAATATGCTTATTCAATATTTAAAACCAGCTTTACACATGCTAAACATTTTATTCACTGTAGACATATCTAAGCCTATAATTTATGTAAAACTTTTTGTTTAAAATTAAAGTATTTATTTTTATAGTTTAGAAAGTTTTAATTTTTGGGGAGGTCTTACGGAGCTGCTGAGTAGCTACATCCTAACCAAGACCCGAGCCTGGCCTCATCCGGGACATAGGTCACACACCGAGACTCTTCAATGCTTTATATCTTTCGTTAAATGTTTTTCCAAAGAATCCAGAATTTAATTATCCCTAGTAAAAAACACGAGAAATTTCCGACAGTTCCAGAAGTCGGTTCCAAGGAAGGAATATTGTAGCAGAGTATATTAGTGTATTCTATGAAATTATTTTTAATTTCGATATTTGTATTTTGATACACTGTAAGATTTTCTCATTGCTTCTCAGCTATTATATTAGTTCTAATTTGGTTTTACACCAAATAAATTGCTGTGTCATCCTGAGGTTTGTCTTTCCTAATTTTCTATGTTACAATACAAGTGTAGTTTTTACTTTAAATTTAATACAATATAATACACTGCGGCCTGTGATTGTAAAACGACACTTGAAGTTACACCGCATGAGTTTCTTTTTAACGAAAAATCAAATTTTTTATTTCAAGGTGAAATATCGACTATTTCTAACCTTTTTGGATGAGGTATGAAAGGATGAATTATGAAGAGTAATGACGAACGGAAAAATAAAAGTATCCAGGGATAGGAATCGAACCCACAATGTTCCGCTTACCGGGCAGATGCCATGTCCACTAGGCTTGTTCAAAATACATAGTCGTTTTTGAAAGTCTTTGTCAAAATGAATAAGAATCAAGATTTTCTTTTAAAAATACGATTATATTCTCTAATGTAGAGATTTTTGGTGGTTCCTTGAAATTCATACATCAGAGAGATTATTTATTATTGAGAGATTTTTGAGATTTAAAAATATTTCATTGACATCATACACATGGTGGTATTATAAAATAATCATTTATCATTGAGAGAAGAATGATGGCAGAAATCACACAAGGAAGATAATGGATTGCTCGGTGTGCTCCCGCCGAGATCATCGACTTCCTTGGCACGCCTCATATACTGCCAATCACCGAGGGCCTCAAATCTAACGGGGGATAACCTTAGAGAAAAACTCGAGATGGTTTAAAATCCCGAGTAAACATTATCGTTATACTGAAGCTACAAGTATTTGAGGCTCTTGTGTTGATATTAAAAATAAGAAAGACATATCCTGACCAGGAGCACATGTGCTTTTCAGATGGCAGAGCGCCATCTGGTGAAACAGATATCAACTAAACATTGATCTAGTCTGTTCCTTGATATTTGGCCAACCCAATTTCTTGATAAATCAAGAAAAGCCATCCACGAACGTGTTTCGCGCTGTTGGCGCTCGTTAGCGTGGAGTAGGCTGTACTCAAAGGGCACTACAAGCGGGATAGCGTCATATACGCGGAAACTGAAAATAAACAATTTGGGACCGTAATACAAAAACAAGCAAGTCGAGTATTTTACTGCAGTTATAATCTACAGATTTGTTAATGAGAACAACATGGCAGTGAATTTGGTAGATCCAAGCAGCTCATATCAACTTGGCAATCTCGGGAGCTCTGTTTAAAATGTATATGAAGGGAACCTCAATGTATCATTAAATATTTATAATGTTTGACAGCAAGAACAACGGAACCAAGCTTCGGCTTTGACACGTCATACACTGTCACAACTGGGGTAACGAACCTGATATTCTTTAATTTAAAAAAGTAAAAGAGTAATCTAGAAAAGTAAAATGTTAAAAAAAATATATATTTTGTCAATTTTATTGATTTTTGGTTGATTTATTATTATTAATTTTAAATATATTGTTTCGATGTACTAGAGCGCCATCTGTTATCAAATTATAAAACTATTTTAGAGGCGTAATATTCTTTTTTTTTTTTTAAATAAAATAAAGTTAGCGTGGAGTAGGCTGTACTCTACAAGCGGGATAGCGTCATATACGCGGAAACTGAAAATAAACAATTTGGGACCGTAATACAAAAACAATCAAGTCGGGTATTTTACTGCAGTTATAATTATTTTAAAAAGAATATTACGCCTCTAAAATAGTTTTATAAATATATTGTTTGTTAAATATAAATATACTACTTGCAAAATGAAAGAAACAATATTATATGAACATAGAGAGAAATAAAAGTATATTTTGATTGGAAGAGGATTGATAAGAAGAATTGCACATAGAGAGGAATTTTGCCAGGAAGAAATTGATGGATAAAAAAAACAAAGGTCGCGTCAAAATAAACATCAAAACTAGACGCCATCTGTCGACACAGGTTCAGGTGGATGTCCGAGATAAGAAGATTGAGGGAGATTTAAGAAAGATTTTAGTATTTCACTAGACCTAATTCTGGAGTTACAATTCACAATGGTTTCCTTCTAGTAATTCCAACCTTGCAATTTGAATCATTATGACATTTCCCAAGAATTATTTCATGTTTTCAGCTGCAAAAAATGAAAAAAAAAAGTGAAAATAATTTAATTGCAATAGTTGTTTTTCCGTGACTCAACTTTAGTGTCTCAATTTGACGTTTTTTTTTTTTTTTTTTTTTTTTGTGACGAAAATAAGAGGGGAATCTGCCATTGTTGAAGAAGCGAAATTGTCCAATTAATCCATAATCAGAAATACCTTTTGTGAAATTTGAAACGCTGTTATCATGGCCGTTATTTTGAACATGTGTTTAGCCTCATTATAAATCAATCCCTTCAATACTGACGCTTGACGCCACAAGTTCGTCTGTTACCGGATTACTGGTTCAAGTTTTGGTTTCAACTTTCATTTTACGGGAATTTTGTTGTTAGATTTCTTCTGTCAGAATACGTTATCATTGAGAGGAATTACGAAAATGACCATTTCAACTTGAGTCTTGTGGAACCAGAAATCAGATGATATATGCTTATTTTTATTTAGGGCGAGGTTTGAAGACTAAAGCACACAGCAAGCATGGCTCTTACTTTTATTAGGCGCCATTTTATATTGTAACATATACATAGCAGGCTTGAAATGTGGACCCAGAAAATAAAAAAACATGTCTTTGGAACTTTTACTTTAAAATCTAAAAATATTTTTCATGAATTGTTGAATATAAAACCACGAAGACAATAAAAGACAGTCTGAAAACTACTAGATGACAGAAATTTATTTATTTTTAATGGAACAAACCTAAATCAACGTTTAATTAATGTATAGGTATGTATGTTAATGTAAACTTATGTATATTGATATTCACACACATACAAAACTTTATTAAGACCACCGGTCTTATACAGTTTCACCACAGGAAGAAAGGAATCATAGATGGAGCTCCTGTACTCTAGGCAGCGCAGCACCCAACAACAGCTGTATATTCATATCTATAACAATGTCCATTTCTCTATTCACTAAGTTCATCAACCTTTTCATAATTTTGAAAAAAGGGCATCTCCTTATCGTGCAATTGAAACAACTATTCTCGTTGATTTTTAATTATTCCAGAATTGGCCAAATACCCATTCTTGATTAATCAAGAAAAGCTAACCACGGACGCGTTTCGGGCTGTTGGCCCTCATCAGCGTGGTGCAAGCTGTACCTCAACGACCAAAAATTGGTCATTCAAGGCATCATGAAACGGGTCGATAAGGCCAGAATTGCGTGATAGTGGTGATGCGTTCACAGTTTGTTCTTCAGAAATTTTCAATTATGTAAATTTTTATATCCTATATTTACATAGATATATCTTTAAAATTCTATATAATCTCTCTCCATTACATTTTTTATGTTTCAGTTTACTGAGGAATCTACTTTATACAATTGATGAAAACCAGTTGCGACATCTTAAACCTTTTTGTAATTTATCGAAACCCGCAAACCTGTGATAACGAATATTTGGCCACCAGATGGCGCTCTGACATCTAAAAACGCTCGTTTAAGCGCTAGAGAAATGCCTTTCTTATTTTTAACATCAACACCTGACCATTCCTTTTTTTTACCTTTTCACATGTTTATCGTTATTACGCAAATTTGGCTTTAACAACCCATTTCTTGATTTCTGAGGAAGCCTCTTGAACCAAATTTCTGGTCGTTCAACACATCCCAAAACGTAAACAAGGCCATCACCACCCTCGAACAATCCATTCTCAGCAATATACAAGAAGCGACCATCTATAAAAACACAAATTTAAACATAGATATTCACCAGATTTTAAAGAAAGGATTCTCCTTTTACAAACCGCCTAAGAAAAAATAAGATCACGTGACCCTCAAGACAAAGAGCCCTATCTCAAGGCCCGGAGAGATTCCCAGAACTGTACAATACTTCTTGCTGACAACACCATCTGGGACTCTTACATTGAAAATTTTAATGTATCTGATCAAATCATATGGAAAATCATCAAACGCCTCTCCTGTACTGAATAAAAAATCAATTTAAAAATAAACAACGGAATGACACTGACCTCACATGAGTCAGCAGAAATCCTAGCAGGACAGCTATGAAAAACCATTCAGTCCAAACCCTTGTACCAATTTCAAATCCAAATTCCTGGCTCTAAGCCGAAATAACGGACTACTGGAATGGAAATACAGAGACTCTACTAATATCAGTGAACTTGAAACAATTATCGCATCCTTGCTAAATAAAAAATCTCCACGAATAGACAAAATCCCGAATGAAGTGATAAAGCTTCTGCCTAAACATCTGATTCAATTCCTCAACGAAGTCTTCAATGTGTCACTTGCATTAACACATTTCTCCGACCAATGAAAAATATAAATTGTTTGTCCCATCTTGAAAAAAGATAAATCAGAGCACGATCCTTCTAGCCACAGGCCCATATCCCTCTTACCTACCATTTCAAATATTTATGAAAGAATAACTTTAACCGGAATAAGGAAAATCCTGAACAAAAATAATCCTATTAGACGAGAACAGTTTGGCTTCCAGTCACAACACTCCACCAATTAGTTGTCGTCACGGAGAAGAAGAGCAATAGTCAATGGTCAAATGACTGGAGTTGTCTTCTTCGATATTTCCAAGGAATTTGACTGAGTGTGGCATGAAGCCCTTCTTTACAAGATGACCCAAAAAACATTCACCTGGAGACATCATAAAGGCAACAATGAACTTCCTAAAAATAGAAAAATTCCGAGTCAACGACACTCTCTACGACAAGACCATAGTCTCATTCGACGTAGAATCCATTTACTCCAGTCTCCCAGCTGATACTGAGCAACACGGAGAGTTCATGAGAGAACATCAGGTTGACCAGATCACTAAAGAAAATAACTGAACGAATAGCTCTGGGCCTTGAAACAAATATTCTGTCATACGATTCCAAAACTTACGAACAGATTAAAGTTTCTCCCATGGGGAGTTCTCTTTCAACCTCAGTCGTCTAATTTGTCGCATTGACAGTTGGATAACTTCACTTTTCCCGTCAGATATAGTTTTATGGCGTCGATATTTTGATGACATATTTTGTATCTGTCCCGAAATTCAAACTAAGAACATTCTGGAAAACTCAACAGTTCCGACCTGAATTTCAGCTACGAAAAAGAAACAAACAAAAGCTGCCATTCCTAGATATAAAAATCATTCACATACAGCATCAATTCCAAACAACTGTTTACTATAAGCCATCCTTCAACCCCGCCTATATCCATTTTACTCCTATTGTGCCCCCTAAATCATAAAATAAATACTGTAAAAACCTTAAGCAAACACAGCCATTGCTCACTTATAAAA